ACTGACACGTAAGTGCACGAAATAAGATTTGCTTTTAAAAACCTATAAAAGAAAAGAATTGGTTTAAATAATAATGGTTTATTTATTAAGGAGAATAAATAAAATAATAATTCACTTTTATATTTTTATTTTACAGTGTATTTTATTATGTTTGTGTATATGGAATGTTCGTTTCTGCATGGGCGTTGGCACAGTTATTGAATTCAAGGTTCATCAATAATTTTTGGGGTTTTACATTCGTGAATATTGTTACATTAAATTGCAATAAATAAAACACATGAAGAATTTGTCATTAAAACACACTAGACGATAATAATTTCACTGAACCTTTTGTCAGATTACTGACAATAAAGCATAAAATAGGATATGCCATTAAAAAACTATAACGCGTATTAATTATTTACTTATTTATAAAATAAAACAAATGAATAGGTATAAATAGTAATGATTTATTTATTAAGGAAAATAAATAAAATAAAACTACGTAATAATTCATTTTTCTATTTTTATTTTACAGTGTATTTTATTATGTTTGTGTATGGATTGTACGTTTCTGTAATATATACTCTGTATTATTGGGTAATAATATGGTAGTACTTTCCCTTTGAAGCGGCCCGGTTAAAACAGGCGGTAATGGTGGTGGCTCTGGTGGGCTAACTACTTGAACATAAGGGGCTGCTGCATTGTTATCAGAAGCCAATTCCTGCACGTTGTCTGAAGCTGATTCTTGCACATTGTCCGATCCCAAAACCTGCAAGTTTCATGATAAGTGCACTGCCTGTCTATTTGCCCGCATCCAGCACACATGACAAACATAGTTGTTTCTTGAGGGCTGAAAATAAACCCCAGTTAGAATAAACACATGTTTTCAAGTTTTATGTTATTGTAAAATGAGAAGAAAAGAAAGAAAGAAGTCTATCCAAACATGAAAAATACATAAAGATAGATATTATAATCACACATACATACTATGAGTGCTATTTGTTATAGATTTTTATAGATAAATACAAGTAGATATATAAAATAATGAATTAAAAACAAAAAGCTTACCACATTAATAGTATTTTGTGATATTAGGCCAGTCAGCAATGAAGAGTCCATACTGACATAATGGTGTCTTATTTTTCGAACCGATTTTCCACAACCAAGGCAAACCATGTTATGCTCCAGTAGTCTCTCATGTTCACCAGCCTCAGTATTCAATAATGAGAAGCATGGTTGACAAATGAATATCTCCAGAGGCAACTGAAAAAGATGCACTATTTAAAGTAGCATACCATTATAAAACATAAAAAAACAGACTAAGTATTATACTATTCCGACTTCATACCTGGGTTTGAGCATTGGTTAACCAACGCGAAAGTATTGTTGGATGGTGTGCAGAAAGCCAGAATATAAGACGCCTCTGCAGCCTTTGTATGGCTATTCCGCATTTGATGCACCTCATCGTAATCCACAAAACAAATCCAAAACGCAAAACAGTCCAGTACTCCAGTATTATTAGCAAGGTTAACAGAAACACGCTGTCAAAAGTGTCAAATGCATTCCGTTTCGTTTAATTTTTTGTTTTCGGTGATTTGAATAAAAATTAAAACATAATATTATTATAATACGAGTATTTTATAAAATGCAACTAGAATCAATGAATACAGTTTCGTATTAATAAAATGTTCCTAGTGTAATGCATTTGTCGATCATATCACACGTTTTCTACGAGTGTTTACGTACGAGTGTTGAATTCACATACATTACTTATATATTTTTTAATAATAATTGTCAAGTCTGGAGAGGCTAAAAACTACGTAATAATTCATATTTCTATTTGTATTTTACAGTGTATTAATTTTGTTTGTGTACGTGGAATGTACTTTTTTGGCCATGTCCTTTTACCTCTTTATAATATTAGCATAGACTAGCTTCCACGAGCGTTTTCTTCCGCTCACAATGTTGATTAAAAGTAGCCTATGTCCTATTCCGGAGTGTATTCTATGCCTGTGCCAAATTTCATCCAGATCCGTCCATCCGTTTTGGCGTGATTGATTAACAAACATTCAAACATCGTAACTTTCGCATTTATAATATTAGTAAGAAGTATGATAAACTTTTTATATATGACTAGCTGCTCTCGCGCAGTTTCACCCGCTGCTCAGCTTCATTAGATTGTAGCGAGTTTTATAGCCTATAGCACTCGGGAACGTTGTAGCTATCTGCCAGTGAAAGAATTTTGGCAATCCGACCAGCGGTTCCAAAGATTACCCCCTACATACAAACTTACAAATTTTACCACTTTATAATATTAGTATAGATTTTGTATTTAGGTACACGGAAAACAATTTGTGGGTCATACATTCCTTGTGGACCCCTAATCGTAGTCTTAAAAAATAAAAACAGTCCCCGCTGAGATTGTTCCTAGAGCTGTCATATTACTTACTTACGAGTTATTAATCAATACAAAAATAATAACTATACTGTACAACGAACAAATAATCTTGATACTTTAAGAAGTGTGGGAGAGTCATGCTTCGGCACGAATGGGTCGGCTCGACCGGAGTAACACAACGGCCTCACAGAAAACTGGTGCGAAACAACCACAGCGCTGTGTTTCGCCGTGTGAATGAGGTTACCGGAGGGTCAATCCTTAAATCTCCAAATCTCTAATCCCAAAAAGGTTGGCAACGCACTGATAACTGCTCTGTGGTTGCGGGTGTCCACGTGCGGCGCTGATTAATTCCTATCAGGTAAACCGTCTGCTGTCCTTTTTTTATGTTATATGTCGGAAAACGAGCAGACGGATTACGTGATGGTAAGTAATCAGCGCCGCCCATTGACCTTTTAGGGATTAGAGTTTTGGAGGTTAAGGGATCTAGGGAAGGGTAAGGTTTGGGCCTCCGGTAACCTCCTATCACATAAAAAAGTATTCTTTTTGCTTCCTTCACCGTGTCCTCCGAGTGATTCTTAGTCTCATAATGACGACGCTCGGGCAATTTAATTTCTTTTTTCAAGTATCAAAATCATTCAGTCAAACTATACGTCACTTAATGTAACTAAACCGTGGCTAAACGTTGTTTCGTTATAACATCCATTGTGGTTTAATAGTTACAAGTACGGCTGCCTAGAATAGGTTCGTGGGTTCAATCCTTAGAGAAAATATAAAATACTAGCTACTCTCGCGCGGTTACACCCGCTTCTCAGCTCCATGTAAGCGTAGCGTGATGTTTTATAGCCTGTAACATTCAGAAACATTGTAGCTATCTATCAGTGAAAGAATTTTGGCAATCCGACCAGCGGTTCCAAAGATTACCCCCTACATACAAACTTACAAACTTACAAATTTTAAGTACCTCTTTATAATATTAGTATAGATTACATTGTCACCACGCAAAAATTCAGCCGGGGTTGCCGGGTAAGCGCAATGAGGCACCGCGACCTCGGCTCAGAGCAGGAGAAAGAACAGGGGGTTTTTAGTCAGTAGGAGTCTGACACTACCTCCCACCCGGCCCTGGGCGGGAGAAGTCATTTGATGATTTTCCCCTTACAAAAAAAAACCACGCAAAATTACTTTATGCTTGTTAAAAGTCCAGATAATAGGGGGAAAGAGCTTACAGCCAAACATTTATTTTATAGCATAGGTCCCTAAACGAGCATGCAGATTACCTGATGGTAAGCAATCAGCGCCGCCCATGGACACTCGTAGTACGGAAGGACTTACTTGTGGGTCATTAGATGGGATTTAAGGATAGGGTACCTATTTGAGGATTGAGGCCATTGAATCGGGTATATAATACCCGCGAAAAGAATAGACGTGTCGATATATACATTGTCTGTCGCTGTCACGCCCAGCTTATAATTTAATTAATACTACTTTCTGCCAGCGGTTTCGCTTGAAGTACCTACTAGGATAAAAAGCGTACTTATGTGTTATTCCAGACTATAATCCATCTCTGTGCCAAATTACATTCAGATCCGTTCAGTAGTGTTTACGTGAGAGAGTAACAAACATCCATCCGTACTTACACACTTTCGCGTTTATAATATTAGTAGGATAATTTGTTGTTTCCGTAATCTTAAATTGAATACACTGACCTCACTTCTAAGACCAGTTTAACAACTCCTGTGCCATAGGGGGTCCAAAATATTAAGTTGGCTGTTAAAAACTATTTTTTGTATTAAAATAATTAAAACATAAAATAATTTAATTTTAAACTATAACAGTATAACAATTTATTCAAAAAAATTATAATGTATTGTTATTTTGAATTGTAAAATAATTATACATATACCTACTTAATTTACTTATATTTTGTAAAAAATGGAATGTATATTTTTTATTTGTTTATTAAGGATAAACAAATAATAATATTTTAAAAAAATATACAAAATAAGGCTTACATTTACATGACAATGTACATTGTGTGTCGTAGTGATTAATGTTCAAAAAATGCAAGGCCGACAAGGAACGCTCTCGCAACTTCTCTGGTGATGCGGGGATGGCTTAACATCAGGTAATACGTAAGCAGGTTTGTAGTCCTATCACAAAAAAAAACTTCACACAATCCATCCATCTTTTCTATGCTCGTCGTGCTTTATTACAAAAAATAATTAATTTATGATTTATTCCCGTAAATAACATAACAAAAAATATTAACATTACAATAAAATTTATTCACAAATTATTTATATAACAATACAAAAAATAAATACAATTTGTGTTATAAATTATTTATGTTTGAATAATAACGAAATAAAATTCTTGATAATTTGCTGTTTATACTGTTTATTTTATAAAAAACTTTGCCTGCTAAAGTGATTTTTTTTTTATTTTATAGGTCGGCAAACGATACGACGAATTACCTGATGGTAAGCAATCGGCGCCGCCCATGTACACCCATAGCACCTGAAGATTAACGAGTCCGTTGCCGGCTATTTGGGGATATAAGGATTTCGGAGATTTAGGGATAGGGGAGGGATGGGTAGTGGGTAAGGATTGGTCTCCGATAACCTCACTCACACGGTGGAACACAACGCTGTGGTTGTTTCACGCTGGTTTTGTGTGAGGCCGTGGTATCACTCCGGTCGAGCCGACACACCAAAGCATGGAGAGCCATGCTTATACAGCACCCACGACAAGAGTTACGGTGGTAAAGTGTAGTATTCCACTCAGCCATCACCAGAGCACAACGTAACTCGGGTATCGAACCTACAAAAAACGAAGATTGCAAAATTAAAAAGTTATTTTTTTTACAATCCACACTGTTTTATGGCATATCGTAAAAGACTCGATAGACATGTTTATGTTTTCGAGGTCAAAGAGGACAGACGGACATACATCTTATAGACTTTTAGACTTTTAGACATTATATGTAGGTATTACAAGTTTTTTTGATACTAGTATTTTAGGGTTCAGCGTTTGGGTTAATAGATTTGGCGGTGTTTACGTGTCGATTTTCAAATATCTCTTCAATCGCTCAATCTATTAAAAAATCGCATCAAAATCCGTTGCGTAGTTTTAAAGATTTAAGCGTACATAGCGATATAAGGACAGAGAAAGCGACTTTGTTTTATACTATGAATCTATAACTCTCCAATCCTGAAATTCCTAATCTCTAAAAGACCGGCAACGTATATATAACTTCACTTGTGTTGTGGGTGTATATGGGCGGCGCTAATTGCTTACTATCATTGAAATTAAGAAATTATTTTTGTAAAACAGCACTTTTGTATAAAAAAGTCGCTTTCGTAACGAGCAGCGGGTAAAACCGCGTGAGAGTAAATAGTTATGCATATGTAGGTAAAAATCTAGATGAAGCCGGCATTTCCTATCTGACTACTCTGAAAAGAAATGCCGAAACAAACTCAGAATGAACTCCCTGAAACTATTAGGCTTTAAAATCCTGGAAACATTTTTCAAATCGGTTTAATACGGTAAAAAACAAATAACGATATTATATTTTTTTTTACTTGCCACAATCTTGAAAAAAAAAAGTGCTTGGCTGCGATCGCACCTGATGGTAAGCAGTGACGCAATCGTTGATGGTAAGGCGCACTTGTTTATTAAGAGCCTTTTCACTCTAGCCTTGAAGACACCTAAATTATATTTGGACGGAAAGACTGCAGCCGGCAAACTGTTCCAATCCCTCGATGTACGCGGTATAAATGACGAGGCAAAACGCTTAGTCCAGGCCGCAGGTGTCTCAACAACGTAAGGGTGGATATTTGCCGTACGCCGGGATGTCCGAAGGTGAAATGGGGATGGCGGAATCAAATCGTGCAATTCCTGAGCACACTCTCCAAAATGCATCCTGTAGAACACCGCAAGGCTGGCTATTCTGCGCCTGTGCTCGAGACTTTGAAGATTCGAGACTTCGAATTATGTACTTTTTCTTATGAATATTTTTTTTAATACTGCTGGTATAGTGGCTTTGTCTGCAATTCGCGGGTAAAAGTCTATATGTTATTTCAGACTTTAATCTATCTCTGTGCCAAATTACATTCAGATCCGTTCAGAAGTTTTTACGTGAGAGAGTAACAAACATACATCCGTACTTACAGACTTTCGCGTTTATAATATTACTATCTCCCGCCCTCAGATTCGCCCGGACGGTATACAGTTAAAAAGTAGCCTATGTCCTATTCCGGAGTGTATCCTATGCCTGTGCCAAATTTCATCCAGATCCGTCCAGCCGTTTTGGCGTGATTGAGGTACAAACACACGTCAAAACATCGTAACTTTTGCATTTATAATTGTTCGCGTGGAATAGTGACTTCCTGTAGATTTTTGTTAAAAAACTATCCTATGCCCTTTCTCGAGTTCCCAACTATGTCTGTACCAAATTTCACAGAAATCGGTTCAGTAGTTTAGGCGTGAAAAAAGATAGGACAGACAGACAGACAGAGTTACTTTCGCATTTATAATATTAGTTTCGATAATATAGTAGGATTATTTTATTAACACTTAGATATTATTCTGTGTGTACGTCTGTCACACAACCGAATCTCAGAAACAAGTTTATTCATTGATTTCTATAATAAATAATTATCTAATTTGAATAATTCTGCAGTTAACCGCTCACTCTGCTAATATTAAGTTTATAACGTTCAGCCATCAATTTTTTTGGATACGGTAAATTATTATTTTAGACTATATTTTGACGGATTTGTAAAGACACGCCTGTGAAGTAAGGTGCTGCTATTTTAATTGGCATTTCTACAAAGAGAATATTATTCTCTTTGTATTTCTATCAAAGTTTTACACATATTTATCAAATTTTTATGTAAAATTTGTTAAATTTATTGTGTGTAGTGTGTAATGTTTAATGGTTTTAATCTTATTCTGTTTTAATGATAATTTAATTTTCAATTTCAATTTCTGATAATCAGTAATATTAGGTACTTACAATGTAATTATTTTTTGCACGATATGGTCTACCATAATTGAAGGAGCACACGACTTTTAAAATTGTATTTTTTTAATATTGCGCATGTAATGTGTATGTAGGTTTATTTTTTTGTTAAACGAAAATCATTAAATGACTTATCTCGCCCATATTGACTAAAAACCACCTTCTTCTTCTGGAAGCCAGGCCAAGGCCGCGGTACCTTACTACGCTTACCTACCTTGCAACCCCGGCTGAACTGCAGCCCTATTGCGTCCTATTTGTGGTGGTCTATTGGTTCTTCGAAGCAAAAGACGTAACCTAAAAGTTTGAATCTGAATGTAAATAATTGATAGGTAACTTCTTATCTTAAGAAAAGGTAAAAGTAATCCGATCAATATAAAAACGTTACTAATAACTACGACATCGAATACAAATTATTAATATTATAAATGCGAAAGTAACTCTGTCTGTTTATTCTTTTCTTCACACCTAAACTACTGAACCGATTTTTGTGAAATTTGGTACAGACATAGTTTGGATCTCGAGAAAGGACATAGGACAGTTTTTAACTAAACATCTGCAGAAAGTCACTATTCCACGCGAACAGAGTCGCGGGTAAAAACTAGTTGTCAATTAAAAACACTCGACCACCACATTGCAAATTATTAAATCACCTTATACATACCGACCACAACCGCCTGCTTCATATAGACCTCCACCACACAAATATACAAACCAAATACCACATCCAAAAATCAAAAATTATCTTCTTAACTCCAAGTCAAGTGATTTGTCAAAATGGCCGTTCGTCCGCCATTTTGGTTTGAATTATGTGTTACTTGCAACTGTTTGGCGGTTTAATTTATTATAATACATTATAAATATCACTTTAAAAAGATATAAGCAGGCCTTTTACTAGCTTTCGACTAGGAAAGGAATTCTTTGCCGAAGTCTGTGTTCTATTACGAAGCTGATCAATGACGTTTTATGATGTTTAAGCAATCGGCGCCACCCATGGACACCCGCAACGGAGGAGCTACGAGTGCGTTGCCGACCTTTTAGGGATTAGGGTTTTGGAGATTTAGGGATTGGGGAGGGATCGGGGAAGGGGAAGTATTGGGCCTCCGGTAACCTCATTCACAGGGAAACACAATGCTGTGGTTGTTTCACGCCGGTTTTATGTGAGCCGTGGTATCACTCCGGTCGAGCCGACCCATTCGTGTCGAAGCTCTCCCACACTTATTTAATACAGACCTACGCTTAAATAACATTTTGTATTGCACTAGCAGGCTCGCCCCTGCTTAGCACGGGTTTATATATATTGCCGATTTGGCGAATTTTGGTCTTGAATTATTCAAGCCCAGAAAAGGTTTGTAAGTAGAGAGAATTAAAAAAAAACACTTGAAAAGTGTAAAATTTACATCCACGCGGGCGGAGCCGCGAGCGACCGCTACGTACATATTAGACAAAACTGATATTACGCCCTTCGGAAGTCCAATCCAATACTAATGGAAAATTAGTACGGAATCTATAACAACGGTTTCCTATTGCACTGACGTCCTCCTTTAACCTCACGTCGACGAAACTCGGCATTTTTAATATATATTTTAAGGAATAGTTATTTCGATCTAAAGTCAAAATCATTTATTCCAACAAAACCATAAATAGGTACTTTTGAAACGTCAAAATAGAATAGTAGTCTGTCAGTTTGTTCGTCAGTGAAGCTACTCGTAGGTGCTGGTGAAGAACGAGCAAGAAACTCCATCGTTACTCTTTTAAAAAAATAATATTTGTTTCACAATTTCATTAATATAACATATAGTTTACATTATTGTACCCCTATTTGAGAACAATGCAAAGACAAGTTGTTAAAAAAAGAACAAATGATAGGATATAACAGTTCCCCGAAGGGTATACCTGGGTGTCTTCAAGGCCCGAGTGAATAGGTTGCTTATGGGTAGGCGTGATCCATCGTAGGTCGCATCATTCCTTACCACCAGGTGTGAAAGTGACCAAGGCAAATAAAGAACTCTGGCAGTCATGACGAAATCTTACTATTTTCTTAAAAAGTAATGCTAATCCTATTGTCACAGTCAGTTAAAAATATTTCTAAGTTTATCGCATATAAGAATTAAGTGTGGGAGAGCCAAGCTCGACCTGAATACCGACTCGACCGACCGACTAGACGTAGGTAATACCATGGCACGAAAAACCAATCATTCACCTTCCCCAATCCCTAAATATAAAAAGTCGGCAATGTAATCGCAACTCCTCCATTGCTGCGAGTATCCATAGGCGATGTTGATTGCTTACCATCAGGTAATCCGTCGGCTAGTTTGCCAATTTATCACTCAATAAAAACTAGCCATAAATCTTCGAAAAATAGCTCCCATTTGACCACCTTCTCAGGAATCGAACCCAAAGACCTCTTGAACTGGCTACCACTTTCCTTATTATCAATACAGGGTAAGCAGTGCTTTAAGTGTTGCAGTGCCGGGTGGCAGTAAGCTGAAGTGACAGAGCTGACGGCTGGGCTTCAGACCTCCCGGGCCCGAGGGACAGAGGGCAAAGAGTAGGTAAATATGCAAGATGGGGAGTGAGGTTTTAAAATCGTTGGTTTTTTACAATACAGAGGGTTTTTGTCAACATACCACGCAGACGAAGCCGTGTGCGAAAGCTAGTCTATACTAATATTATAAATGCGAAAGTAACTCAGTCTGTCTGTCTTTTTTTCACGCCTAAATTACTGAACCAATTTGTGTGAAATTTGGTCAAGATATGGTTTAAAACTCGATAAATGACATGGCATAAAAACTATCCGTTTTTATACCAAAAATCTGCAGGCAGTCACTATTCCATGCGAACGGAGTCACGGGCAAAACTATGCGCCATATAAGTTTAATACGCACTAGCTACTGCCTACGGTTTCACTCGCTGCTCGACTCCTATTAGTCGTAGCGTAATGTTTTATAGCACTCAGGAACATTGTAAGTAGCTACCTATCTATCAGTGAAAGAATTCTGAAATTCTCTATATCCCTTCCTTTTCCTTCCCATTCCCAGACTCTTACTGGCTAAACACTCCCCCGTTCTTTCTCCTGCTTTAGCCCGAGGCCACGGTGACTCATTGCGCTTACCCCGCAACCCCGGCTGAACATCAGCCCTATAGGGCCCCGTCTGTGGTGGTCTATTGGCACGTTGAGTCGCGCGCGGAACGCTACGCGCCGTACGCTCGGGTCTGGTTCTGGTCGGGCGACGACCTACCTGTCCAGTCTGTGTTTAAACTCTTTGGTGCTACATTATCAAAAGTTTTAAGATGCAGATACTGGATGATTCAGTCATTACGGCCGTGTCCTAGTGGCCCGGTTTAGGGGTCTGTTGGCGTTATATAAAAGCCTTTAATCCTTTTCATTTTAATTTTAGAGCTGATTTTTCAATACCAGATAATTGTTACCTGAGGAATAAAATTGTTGTTGTCACTGTCTTGTACAAACATTCTGACGAGACAGCTTCATAATTATTTCGCAGGTAACTTTTATTTAACCATTGAAAAATTACCCCTTAGACGTAATTGCATGAAGTGGGTATTTAGGACAACTATAGTCTATAGATTTAGGTAATGGCATGTCTTTTTTTTATCAAAAAGTTGTCTAAAAATTTTACCTAGATATGTAAAACTCTTTCATTCAGGTACAGGTCCTTCAGGTATTTACCTAAATCGATGTTAGCTAATAAACTGAATTTAAATAATCTTTGTATATATTTTATAAGATCTCTTTCATTATACTTTGTAAGTTCCTGAAAATTTGCTAGAAAAATCAATAGGATTACCTGATGATAAGCAATACGCGCCGCCCATGGACACCCGGAACACCAGAGGAGTTACGATTGCGTTGCCGGCATTTTGGTGATGAGGGGTTTCGGAGAGTAAGGGATTAGGGAGAAAAGAGATTGAAGAAGGGTTTGTACAACACAAAGTTGTGTTTCATCGTGTGAATGAGATTACTCATTACCCAATCGTCCTTCCCCTCCTCCAATCCCTCCTTTATCCCCAAATCTCCGACACCCTAATCTCCAAAAGGTCAACAACATAATCTCCTCCATAGTTGCCAGTGTCCATCACATAACAAAACTGACAAAAATAAAATGTTTTTTATAAATAACTACAGAACCCAGCGATATGAAACCGAATCGCTTCCTACACGAATACTGCCACAATCGGGCATCGAACCGCTAAGTGGACATAGTGAAGTATATTCAGGTCCGTCTCTAAGGACATAACTACGGAACGTTATCGAGAACTGTAGGTATGTTTGTGTGTCACCACTATATGTATTACTAAACGAATGCTTAAAATATTTCTTTTACATATATATTGTGTTATCTCAAAAAATCGAGTAAAGCATTTTAATTTCGATTTTTGGCAAAAGGTTAGGTGCTTACAAGATGTTTTTCTGTTTTTTATTTCTTTATTTGATAAGGCGGTTAAAGAGCTGACAGATTACCTGATGGTAAGCAATCAGCGCCGCCCATGGACACTCACAATAAAAAAGTATATGTTATACCATTATTGTCATGTATGTTATTATTGTCCTTGTATATATAGGTCGTGATGGTTTAAGAAATCCGTTTCACATGCATGAGGGTGTGGATTCGATACCTGGCAAGTACCAATGTGACTTTTTCCGAGTTATATGTACTTTCTATGATTATTTAGACGCCACTGACATACGGTGAAGGTAAACATCGTGAGGAAACCTGGACTTAAGAATTTCTTATTATAAGTTTGAAATCGCCAACCCGCATTGTGCAAGCGTGGTGATTAATGTTTCAACCTTTTTTCGTGTAAAAATAGGCCTTTGGTCAGTAAACGGCATCTAGGCTAGAGATGTATTTCCAATCCGAAAAACCATCAAGTAACTCCTCCCGCGCGAAAAAGAGTGTTAGACTCTTACTGACTAAAAATCACTCCGTTCTCCTGGTCTAGGCCGAGGCCGCAGTGCCTTATTGCTCCCGGACGCAAGCACATCTCTTGGATCCAGAAATCACTTGGAACTGCATGGTAAGTAGCCAAGTATTATAACAATACAATTACTAAGAAACTTCATCTTTTTATGAAAGAGGTCGGCAAACGATTAGACGGATTACCTACTTGATGGCAAGCAATCGGCGCCGCCCATGGACATCCGCATCAATACTATACTTAAGGATTGAGAAGCGAAGAATTGTGCCTCCGGTAACCTCACTCACACGGCGAAACACAACGCTGTAGTTGTTTCACGGGGGTTTTCTGTTAGGCCGTGATATCACTCCGGTCGAGCTGATCCATTCGTGCAGAAGCATGGCTTTCCCATATTAAAATGCTCCATGACAAACATCCAGGTATTAATCAAACGCATTATTTTGATCTATGCGCAATACTAGTTTTCTTAATTGCATAGGTAATCCGATCATCGTCGCCGAGGTCCTTCGATTTCTAAAAGCTAAGTTTTACAGCTTGCCTACCTACATAAAATTATGAGCGTATAGCCATAATATTACGTATAATCACTACATAATACAAAACAAAATAGCTTTCTCTGTCCCTATATCGCTATGTATGCTTAAATCTTTAAAACTACGCAACGGATTTTGATGTGGTTTCTTTAATAGATAGAGTGGTTGAAGAGGAAGGTTTATATGCATAATAACGTGCATTAAATACTGGAGAGATTAACACCCGGTTCCCGAAAGGACGATCAATGTTAAAATCAATTTAATATCTTGTCAAGTCATCTGATTGGTTGACTGAATTATCAACAACCAATCAGATGACTTGACAAGAGATTTGACACCTAGTTAGTTAATTTTAACATTGATCGGGATTTCGTAAACCGGGCATTAGTATCAGAAAGAAGCAATTTTAAGATTTCTATAGAAACATTAATTCGCTTATAAGTACCTACCTACTAAGTTTCATTATAATCGGTTCAGCAGTTTCCATAAAACATACAGCACATAAAATTTTGTACGTAGCACAGAAACCCGCGCGACATAAACACATCTTAAATCCTCAGAAGATCGTTTTTTTTTTTAAATTTTCACGTTTTGACAAGTTTGACAGATGTCAAAAGTATTTTTTTTCACTTAGTGATTACGGTAGCGTGATTTGGTGTAGGTATAAAAGATTAATCTGAGTTATTCCATATACATCAGAGATTTATAAGTAAAATTACTTTTTGCGCAACCAATCTGCAAAGGTTTAAACTACAGTGTGATTCTGTAAGACTTCATTCTAAACGTCGAATCTGACTCCGCTGTGAGTAGTAGTACACTAGCGCTACACTTGCGAGTTGAACTAAATTGGCAGCATCATTTTGATAGATAAAGTGTGAGATGACGTTAAAAGTGGCATTCTATAATGTAATTTCTCCGTCACTTCGAAGCTCACATTACACTCGAACACGATTCAAAATCAAACAAATTTTATAGAATCGATGTGCTGAACCTACATTACCAAATTATTAATAGAAATAATATACCTGCCTATAATTTCACAGTTGATTACTTTCCTTACTTACCTACTTAAAAATTATTTGTTTTGAATGTTTTAAGGCAATAATATATTTAAAGTATGGAGAGCCATCCTTCGGCAAGAATGGATCGGCTCGACCGGAGTGATACCACGGCCTCATAGAAAACCGATTTGAAACAACTACGGCGTTGTGTTTCGCCGTGTGAGTGACTTTACCGGAGGCTGAATCCTTCCCAATCTTGAATATACAGAACCCTTATTACCAAAAGGCCGGTAAAGAACTCGTAACTCATTTGATGTTATAAACTCGTCCATGGGCGGCCCTGATTGTTCACCATCAGGTAATCCGTCTGATCGTTTGCCGGCCTATAGGTACCAAAAAAAATATTTTCATGAATAGATTAAGGTCATCATCGACAATGCGCTAGTTGAGGCCCGGCTTCAAGGCCTCGATAACTTATTCATCTACTTCATAGTATGTAATTACTTTCGGTTTTATCGGATACTTATCGGAGTATTCGAGGGATTGCATAACTTGATTCCCCCTAATCCTTTCCACCATTAGTACCACCGGACAATCGGCAAAACGTCATCGCTTCATGGTCCACCATGATATCCCACCCACACGCACGAAGCGGTTCGCCTCCAGCAGTGTGATTCTGTAAGACTTCATTCTAAACTTCGAATCTGAATCCGCCGTGAATAGTAGTATACACTAGCGCTACACTTGCGAGTTGAACTAAATTGACAGCATCATTTTGCAAGATAAAGTATGAAATGACGTTAAAAGTGGCATTCAAAAATTTAATTTACCCGTCACTTCGACGCTCACTTCGCACTCGAACACGATTCAAAATCAAACAAATTTTATAGAATTGACGTGCAGTTTTATCATCAGAACCGCTAAGGAATGGAATTCTTTGCCGGAGTCTGTGTTCCCCGAAGGGTATACCCTGTGTGTCTTTAAGGCTCGAGTGAATAGGTTGCTTATGAGTAGGCGTGCTTCGTCGTAGGTCGCATCATTGCTAAAAAAAAAGATTTGTCGATGCTACTTTTTAATAAAATTGCAATCTTTAAACTGTCGAATTTTATAACTGGAAAAATTTCATATATCCACTTAATAAGAAGCCAGGTTTTGAAGAGATATCCTTCAATTAGGTTTTGGATCGGGGTAACAATTGAATCGATGTTTCAGGTTTTGAAAACCCAAAAAACTTAAACGTTGCCTTAAACTAGGATTTTCTCCTGTGTCGTGGGTGTCACACCAGAACAACAATGTGTTGGCAATCCGACCAGCGGTTCCAAAGATTAACCCCTACATACAAACTTACAAGTTTTACCTCTTTATAATATTAGTATAGATTGACGTTGTCAAATATCCGATTACCTGTATAAAGAAAATAATATAATAAAACTGGAGACTTTTGACTTTGATACTACTTAAAGGGTAAAAAATACACAAAAAGTAATTTCAATTTGATTTTATTTTTGTTGTTCTTTGTACATACATTTTTACAAATTTATTTATTTACATTACATAAACAGTATTTTTTTAAAGCTTGTCCTATTTTTTTTTTTTTTTTGTTACAAGTCGATTATTTTTATGAAGTAGAAATCGTGGACAGAATTTATTTTGTGACAAAAAAGTAAAATAATAATAAGACAATTTTTAAAAAACATTACACCAAAATTATATTTGTCGAAAAATAACTACGGAATTTACCAGTTTGGAAACATTCGAATTATTAAAATTAAATTTGGAAAATAATGAGAATATATTTTTTACAAGAATTATTTACGGTATTAAAATCGGTTCAGTAAATTCGGAGAATTTAAGATATTTTTTACACACAATATTATAATCATAAAATAAATTATAGTTTATAAATCACTTATAAGTAGAAATGTGTTTTTATATTACAATAATTACTATTTATCTACTTATATAGGAAATATCACTTTGTTTCGTTGTGAGGTCTTGAGAGTTTTGACATAATATTAAGTTAACTTTATTTGTGTGTATTGTGATTGGTAATTTCTTATATTATTGTGATTTGCTTAACAATTACAATAGTTATGTAACAGATAAGTCAAATATACCGTCGAGATTATTTCCCATCGTTCAGTCCAGTCTACAAGTGCCCACTGCTGAGCAAAGGCCTCTTCTCACACGGAGAAGGTTTGAGCATTAACCACCACGCTTGCTCAAAGCGGATTGGCGATTCCAAACCTATACTTAGAAATTATAAGTGCAGGTTTCCTCACGGTGTTTTCCTTCACCGTATGTCAGTGGTGTCTAAATAATCATAGAAAGTACATATAACTCGGAAAAAGTCACATTGGTACTTGCCAGGTTTCGAAACCTCATGCATGAAAAGCGGGTATCGTCTAGAGTATTTGGTTCCGTTAAAAACGAAAAGTATATGTAGACAGATATCAAAATAATCGAACAATACCTCTGTCGATCTATCTCTACAAAAAAGTGTGCACTTCGGTAACGATTTGAATATAAAAATCACAATGATATCGACCTCACAACCATAGTTTAACTGGCACATTGATTTATTAATAATACTAAATAATAGTACAGTTTTTACAATAAATAATAATTATTATTTGGCATCAAATACATATCACTCTTTTACTTGCACTTTTTTAATTATTATACAGTTTTTTTTTGTGTTATTGGAATAGAAATACTATTTTTATTAAACATTTTTTGTGTAACAATGTTATTGTGTAGTTTACAAAAAATAATAACTCATTTTTTGTATAACAATATTATTAGTTTTTTTTTAATAAAATATTGTATATAAAAGTGCAAGTTCACAAAAAGAGATCCTTTCCTATCTGGAATCCGCTTCACATTTTTCAACTTGACTCAAAACCTTACCTATCCTCTCAATTAAAATTTTAGCATTTTTCTCCGGCAACGAGGGGAGAATATCTCTAATAACTATTGAATTCTTCTTATGAAACATATCACTTAGCAAGGAACCTACAGATTTCGTCCTGAACAACTTCTGCAAAGAGTCCACTGTCCTTTTTCTGAACACACACAAATTATCCAACATCAACCTATGATACATGTTATATTTTTTCAAAAGTCTATAACCGTGTAACAGTCCTGATTCATTATCTAAAAATATTAAAAGTCCACTGTCCATTTTCTTAGCCAGATTATGAGCTGGACCATCCATTATGTTAACATTCCACTGATAATTAAACAAATTATTGACTATTCTATCCAAATTCGCCGTCAAATAGTCGAAAATGATCAAATCTGACCATTGAGCTAGCTCCAGAAACTTATCTATCATTTTCTTGTTCAATTTCAAGTTTATGTACGTGAAGTTCTTAATCTCTGATCTCGATTTCAAGTCCTTAAATCGTAGTTTGTCTATCAAAATGTGCTTGCTTTCCGTGTCATTCTCTTTTAGGGACATTTTTAGGATATCATGCTTATTCAAATGCCTGGTTGTCGGTCGGAAAACATCTGGTATTGATGCTGACTCTAAACTTGGTATGTATTGCGTCAAAACCACAGCCCTATTAGATCCCCATTGTGCAGCAGCGATGTCATTAGCCACATTCTTCCACAGTTTATCCTTTAAATCAACTATCCTAACAACAGAAGGGGCTAAATTGGTCAAGTTCAATAGCCTTCCGACGTAAAAACTGAATATTTCTCCTTGAATTTGGTCTGTGTTTTGTCTGTACCTAACACACGCTTGGAGACCATCTTTGAAAGTCACCAGTCGATTCTGCATCCTCCCACATCCCGCCTCCATCTTAACAACTTCAGCATCATTGATGTATTGCTCCCAGATCTTTGCTGATCCTTCTCCGTAACCTTGAGGCATGGCGTCTTCAATTTGAGGTCCCCAAAATATGTTATCATACAAAACTGTTGTGCCATCTGGAGTGAAAGTTTTATTTAGTATTATGGGATGTCTATTATCACTCTTTGTATCTTTTAGAATATCTTTCATATCTTCTGTTAGTCCCTTTGGATAAATATCTTTATTATATTTATTTTCTTGTCCAGTAAAAGAAACTGTTGCAAATTTGTTAGCTTCTTCTAATTTAGGTACGTTTTTCACAACAGCTAAATGTACTGGTGGTGTTTTTGTATGTTTTACTACGCTTTCTGTGTATTGTCCACTCATTATAACTATTCCAATGGCTAGACCGAAAATGAAACTTATGATTACACTAATAAAACAATAAGTTAAACTTTCGTTTCTAGATTTCTTGTTTATATTTGTGAAATCATTGTATAGTACATAAGGATCTCGGAAACTTATAGTCATTGCCATTTTCCCGGGATTGTTTTGTTTTATTTCTTTAAGTGTTGGTATTCTGCTTGGAGGAGCTAGTGTTGTATGTTTATCTTTCCCTTTGTTATCCATTTTTGTATCTTTATCTTTATTTATTTCTTAGTCTTCCTATTCTTCAACTGCTGTCATTATTTTCAGGATATCTGTAACAAAAGAAAATTCATGTAAGTCACTGTTTAAACTTATGGAACTTATTTTACGACGTTTAAAAATATACATAAGAATTGTGTAAGATTTTGAATGCTATAGGGCCGATGTTAGGCCGGGGATGCAGGTGTAATCGAAATAGAGAACCACGTCCCTGGTCTAGGTCATGAGAATGTACGAGGTGGCTTTTAGTCAGTAAGACCTTGTAACAAGGGTCATTTGACGATTTACCCAACTCATTCAAAAACGATGGCTCTATTTCACAAAAAAACATTGTGAGTAGGTCACCTTTTCAAGTTTTTTTGGCAAAATTCTAACCACAAATCATTTTTCACATGACATTGACATGAAAGTTAAAAACGAATCAAAATTTCTTAAACGTAAAAATCACAACAAACCAACTTAAATAACCATAACTAGTAAATACACGCCTAAATTGACCTGTAACATCGACAAAAAAAGGACTATAGACAAAAAAAATGCTTAAACTGAGAACTGAATCCGAGACAGCAGTTTAAACAAACGATGTAACAATGGGGTTAGAGATAATTGTAGGTTATTTTGAACCCACCCACCGGACGGTTCACCGCCCACTATTTAAACGGTTAGTTATTTTAAGGTAATCATTCAATTAGTTAGGTTTTTTTTTGTTGTTCAGTAAGTAGACGTGTTTATAATACCAACTTTTTTTCGTATAAAAAGAGTTTTTTTTTTTGTATTAACAAGAATTTTAGAGTTTTTTTTCTTGGTTTGTTGACAAATGTGTAGATTTTTCAACACAATTTTTTGGGAATATATGTTTTTATGTGTTTGTTGTGTAAGTAATAGTTTTTTAGTAATCGTTTGTGGATTAAACATCAGTTTCAACAACAATGTTTAATCTCAATAATTGCTCGGTTATCACTACATAGTATAAAACAAAGTCGCTTTCTCTGTCCCTATATCCCTATGAATGTTCAAATCTTTAAAACTACGCAACGATTTTGATTTTTATTATTTTAATAAATAGAGTGATTAACGAGGAAGGTTTATATGTATAATAACATTCATTAAATAGTGAAGAAATTTTCTATCAGTAATACACTCGTGCGAAGCCGGGGCGGGTCGTTGTTTGACCAAAAATACAAAATTATCATCATCATCATCATACACCTACATAACGTCTCACAAGTCACAAAGGTTTCCAAAGACTATCAAATAGACAGGTTATAAGTCATAATTATGCAGAAAAACATTAAATAAACACTAAACAGCTTAAAAAAATAAAAACCAAGGACAATTTTCCATACACTAACCAAACATTACAAGTGAAACGACACATATATTTAAATTATATGTATATGAAAAAAAGAACAAATTCTTTAGATGCAACGATAAAATTTGAATGACATTGACAGCCATCTTGTTTCTTTTTGCAATCAAAATGGCTACCAATCAATATTTTTTATGACATTAACGTATTATGAGGAAAAAACGTGTACCAAGCTACTGATGGTAGTTTTGAGGGGGTTTTTAGAAAAATGAATCTTAAGCGTGTTTGAATAAAGCTGAAACGGTAAAGAAATTGGTTTTGTCATTTAAAAAAAAGTATTTGTGAAGGTGATCGATTAAGAATTTCTACAAGGGAATGTTTAAAAGCTTTGATAAATGATAAAAATGTTACAAAATATGATTTTAATTTTTTGTAATGCCATGTAGATTTATTTTATTTGTAACTACTTGCCCGCCCCCGTTTCGCACGGGCCCAACTGTCTCGCTAACAACAAGAGGGTAACTTTTCTCAAGCTTCCACTATACTATACTAATATTTTCATTGATAAGAACTTCTCCTGACAATAATAAATACAACAAAAAATATTTTTTTTTTTATCGTATAAGTCAGCAAACGAGCTGACGGATTACCTGATGATAAGCAATCGGCGCCGCCCATGGACACCCGCAACACCAAAGGAGTTACGAATGTGTTTCTGGCCTTTTGGGGATAGGGGTTGCGGATATAAGCATCGGGAAGGGATAGGGGAAGGTTGGGCCTCCGGTAACCTCACTCACAGGCGAAACACAACGCTGTAGTTGTTTTACGCCAGTATTCTGAGGCCGTGGTATCACTCCGATCGAGCCGACCCATTCGTGCCGAAGCTTGGCTCTCCCACACTTCCGAATTGGCAAAATTGGTCGAAAAGTGGCTGAGTTACATTTAGTGATCTATTTTATATATGTTTATAGATTTAGTCGAAAATCTAATCAATTTAAAATGTAGGTAAGCTACATTCGTCTACTATTTTTTTTTAATATCAAAAAATAACCATTTCAATTCTAACACGTACCTACTATAGATGTATAAAACGGCTTATTCAAACCGATATCCAAATTAAGCAAATAAAAAAAATAAGGAATTATAACCTAAAAATCCCAAATTTGACATAATATTGTCAATGTCATATTACCTTACATATGTCAAATTGAGCGGCGGAGCGTGGATGTTTTCGTTCGAAATCGGTAAGGCTACAAGTATTTTTTTTTGGTTTCTTTTTTTTTATTTTACAAATTTAGTGTTGTCCCAGCGATGTGTTTAACAAAATTCTTACAATCGGGCGGGAAAAAAAAATGTCGAGGAGAATCGTCAGGCTGTTTTTTAAATAGGACTACTGGTTCCGTATTGTAAATGTTACATAATTATTAATAAATGTTAAAAACAATAATATTATAAGTAAAATGGTATAGATAGGTTACATAAACAACATTCGATTTTCAAAAACGGCACACTAATGCACACATGAACAATTCGTATGTTTAGACGTCAAAGTGAGATGGCACGATTCAATAATCGCGAGTGAAAAAGAGACAAATATGAAAAAGTGTGGCTAGTTAGCCACATTATAATGTATCACTTGCTGAGCGCTTGTAACCTATCTACACCTTTTTTACTTATAATATCATTGGTTACAATTATATAAATATTTGTAACAGTTTTAACATTTAGTTAGAAGTCAAAAAACATTGTAGGTACAATTCGTTTCAATGATTATTTAGACACCATTGATATATGGTAAAGGAAAATAGAGACTGGCAGAGAATGAATTACTTCAGCATTAAAATTCGCGTTTGTATGTCACATATAAGTGTTACATAAACAAAACCGGCGTGAAATAACCACAGCATTGTGTTTCGCCGTGTGAGTGAGGTTACCGGAAGCCCAATCTTTCTCAATCTTCAATCTCCCCAATCCCTTTATCTCCAAAACCCTAATCCCTGAAAGGTTGGCAACGCACTCTTAACTCCTCCGTTGCGAGTGTCCATGGGCGGCGCTGATTGCTTACCATCAGGTAATCCGCCTGCTCGTATGCCGACCTATTACATAAAAAATAACAGGTTAGTAAATACCTAAATCTTTCTAATTGCCAAGTAAGTAAGTAGGTAATATCTAAAAACAAAAACAACACTATTGAGGTAAAAAACAATCGACAATCAATTTCAAAACAAGGTGTAACCAATTACTATATTAAGCAAACTAACTAAGGGGATCCCTAATTCCGGCCGATCGATGGAAAAAAAGGACCAAAAAAATGACCACCACTGGTCGCACGGCTACAAAAAACAGCTTGTTTAGCATGATAAGGACGGCCGCACAACAAGATATACTTAACTTGGAACATGTGTAAACAATTCCCAACCTTACACTTAGAAGTTAAAGTTAATAATGTAAAGTTATTTTATAAGATGGTATATGTTTATTTGCTGCCAAGAGACTGCATATGGATCGTATATTTGAATCGTTTCCGATACCCGCTGATTTCGGAATTTGATTTTCAAACTATGTTAGACTCGCCTTGTTTGCCTCGGCAACTGAGCGGTGACGAATTCAACTTTTTTTTGGTAATTTTGGTCAGTTTTGAGTTTTGGAGTAGGTAGTATGGAAGAGCCATGCTTCGGCACGAATGGGATACCATGGCCTTACAGAAAACCAGCGTGAAACAACCACAGCGTTGTGTTCCGCCGTGTGCGTAAGGTTACCGGAGATCCAATCCTTCCCCTCCCACAATCTTTAAATCTCCATATTCCTAATGCCTAAAAGGTCGGCAACGCACTCGTAATCCCCTCCGTTGCGGATGTCCATGGGCGGCGCTGCTCGCTTACCATCAGGTAATCCATCTGCTCGTTTGCCGACCTAATAAATAAAAAAGTAGTAATACGGTAGTTTCCAACTAGTCAAATTCAATACTTTAATCCGAATGTCAAAGGCGATATTTTTCTATGAAATCTGTGAGTATGAAACTCCAAAATATGACGACACACTTATTACGTTTATTTCTTAAAAATTTACTAAATTTAAAAAAAAAATGTTAAAATTTAGAGTATAGATTAGACAGATCAATGATTTAAAAAAAACGACTATCGATGGAGTTTCTTGCTCGTTCTTCTCCATTCGAATCTACACTTTGGAACGAGCACCTAGCTTCACTGACGAACAGACTGACAGACTACTATTCTATTTTGACGTTTCAAAAGTATCTATTCATGGTTTAGTCGTGGTGGCCCGGAGGTTAAGGCGCCCGCTTCTCATGCATGAGAGTTCGAAACCTGACAAGTACCAATGTGACATTTTCCGAGTTATATGTACTTCCTATGATAATTTAGACACCACTGACATACGGTGAAGGAAAACATCGTGAGGAAACCTGGACTTATAATTTCTAATTATAAGTTTGAAATCGCCAATCCGCCTTGAGCAAGCGCGGTGGTTAATGCTCAAACGTTCGCCGTGTGAGAAGAGGCCTTTGCTCAGCAGTGGGCACTTATAGGCTGATGATGATGATGGAATAAATGACTTTGAATTTAAATAAGAGTATAGTTTCCCATTCGTATCGAAGCATGCCTCTCATACAGTTATCTATTTCGCATTAATTTATATTTCTACCTAACACAAACAAATAAGTAGTATGTATAACTGTCCCCAACTACAAAGGAATAACAATTTTAAATACAACAATATAAATACGAAAATCGTGAACAGTTAAACAATATAAAGATCTGATCACAAAATGGTAGAGTCGACAGAGAATCAACAAAATCGATCAATCGATTACAATGCATCTATACATCTCGGCTCGATTCTAAATCGATACTAAATCATATAACGCAGATTATAACAGAAATACTAGTCCGTACAGCAGTGTGATTCTGTAAGACTTCATTCTAAACTTCGAATCTGAATCCGCTGTGAATAGTAGTACACTAGCGCTACACTTGCGAGTTGAACTAAATTGACAGCAACATTTTGATAGATAAAGTATGAGATGACGTTAAAAGTTCTATAATGTAATTTCCCCGTCACTTCGACGCTCACTTCGCACTCGAACACGATTCAAAATCAAACAAATTTTATAGAATCGACGTGCAGACTTTGAAGTTTAGTTTAGTATAAAAATATCCGGAGCCCTTATCCTCAAAAAGCAGGCAACGGACTCTTAATTCCTCTGGTGTTGCAAGTGTCTACGGGTTGTTTGCTTACCATCAGGTAATCCGTATGCTCGTTTGCCGATCTATTTAATAAAGAAAGGATTTAAATTTGATTTTAACTGAGGCCCGAACCTCGCCTCTCATATCCAATCTCCAAATCCTCAAATTCATTGTTTTAAGGGAGCGAAAAATGTCAATTGATGGTTGAACGTGGAAAAGCGATGCTTCGGCACGAATGGATCGGCTCGACCGGAGTGAAACAACCACAGCGTTGTGTTTCGTCGTGTGAGTGAGGTGGCCGGAGGCCAATTCCTCCCCCTACCCCCAACCCTAGCCAATCCTTAAAAATCCAAAACCCTTAGCCCTAAAAGGCCTGTAACGCTTTTTTAACTACTTTGGTATTACGACTGTCCATGGGCGGCACTGATTGCTTACCATCAGGTAATCCGTTTGCTCGTTTGCCGACCTATAAGAAATAGTTATTCAGGTCTCGAATGAGATTGTACGTATAGACCACAGACGGGGCCCTATAGGGCTGATGTTCAGACGGGGTTACGGGTTAAGCGCAATGAGGCACCGCGACCTCGGCCCAGAGCAGGAGAAGGAACAGGGGGGTTTTTAAGTCAGTAAGAGTCTGACACTCTCTCTCGCCTAACCCTGGGCGAGAGAAGTCATTTGATGATTTTCGCTTAACAAAAAAAAAGGTCTCGAATGAGATCATGGGGCTTCTGCATACCCTGCTAAGTGTCCCAAGAATAAGATAGTTTTACATGATCGTTGATCGTGCTTAGAAAATCTTATTGTTTGCTTCAAAATTTATATCCGGGTGCCCGGGGTTATAGGGTCAGGAGACAGACGACGGTAAGGACTGGATTTTGATTGGTGTAACCATTTAGGATATTTCAATGACTTTATTTTTGAACTAGCTATTCTCGCGCGATCCCACCCGCTGCTCTGTTTTTACAAATCGTAGCGTGTTGTTTTATAGCTTATAACCTTCCTTGATAAATGGACTAACAGACAAAAAAAGTATTGTTCAATTCGAACCAGCAATTCCGGAGATTAGCGCGTTTGAACAAACAAACTCTTCAGATTTATAATATTAATATTACTATTGAATATTATTTATCTTTTTTTGTGAAATAGGTCTGCAAACGAGCTGACGGGTTACCTAATGGTAAGTATAAACGCCGCCTATCAAAGTCAAAGTCAAAATCATTTATTCCAACTAAACCATAAATAGGTACTTTTGAAACGTCAAAGTAGAATAGTAGTCTGTCAGTCTGTTCGTCAGTGAAGCTAGGTGCTCGTTCCAAATTGTAGATTCGAATGGAGAAAAACGAGCAAGAAACTCCATCAGCTTTGCCGGCTTTGAGGATGAAGGATTTGGATATTTAAGGATTAAGGAGGGAAGGATTGGGCCTCCGGTAACCTCACTTACACGGCGAAACACAACGCTGTGGTTGTTTCACGCCAGTTTTCTGTGAGGCCGTGATATCATTCCGGTCGAGCCGACCCATTCGACCCGAAGCTTGACTCTCCCACACTTTGATTATTATAATTTTAATAAGAACTTAAATGATCGTGTCATCAAAATTAATTAGGAGAAAGTTAACCAATACATTGTAAATATGAGTTGTGTAATTAAAAATAATTAATTATTATTTA